GCTCAACCTCGGTGACAGAGACCAGGCCAACCTCGGTGACAGAAACCAGCCCAACCTCGGTGACAGAAACCAGCCCAACCTCTGAGCCCAAACGCAGCACAACCTCTGGTCCTACAATGAGCACAAGCCCTGTTCTCAAAACTGAAACAACCCACTTCACACCAGTGACCATCCCCTGCCAGCCACAGTGCAGGTGGACCAAGTGGTTCGACGTGGACTTCCCGTCCCCAGGGCCCCACGGAGGAGACGCGGACACCCTCGGCAACATCGTCAGAAGGGGAGGGAAAATCTGTCGCCGGCCCGAGTACATCACGCGGCTGGAGTGCCGGGTCGAGAGCCACCCCGAGGTCAGCATCGAGACGCTGGGCCAGGTGGTAGAGTGCAACGTCAGCAAGGACCTGATGTGCCGGAACCGGGACCAGAGTGGCGAGGTCGGGATGTGCAACTACGAGGTCCGCGTGCTGTGCTGTGAGCCCCCGGAGCACTGCCCTCATACTTCTGTGGCGCCTTACGCGACTCCATCCACCAAGCCCTCGTCCCCTCCAGAACCGACCTCCGTGGTGTCCACCACGACATGTTACTGCAGTGTGTCTGACAAGTTCTACCGCGCAGGTGTGTGCTGCCCCGGCCACTGTGAGGGAGAGGGAGGGGTCCTTTGTCCCCGTGACTGAGCCACGTGTTGTCCCCGAGGCGGCAGTGAGCCGTCCTCTAGGATTCATCCCGTTCGTTTCTGGGCAGGAGGGCCTCCTACCAGGTCAGCCCTCGGGGCGGACCGCCACCCTGCAGGGGCCAGTCCGTGCTGTGCCTCTCCCCGCCCCCTAGCATGGCCCCGCTGACACCCGCCTGTCCCCTTGTCTGCCAGGATCCATCATTTACAACCGGACCGACCTCGACGGCCACTGCTATTATGCCACGTGCAGCCTGGACTGCCACGTGGTCAGGACGCACTACACCTGTGCCAGCGGCACGACACCTCCCGTCCCAACCACCTCCCCGGCCGGGTCCTCCCCTTCAGCCTCCGCGCCCGTCACCGCGAAGGGGTGCCCAAACGCGGTTCCCCCAAGAAGGGTAACTCCCCCCTCCCCGCCCACCGCACAGGCTGGCGCAGGGACCCTCAGCGTCTTTGCAGCTCGGCTGAGCGGGAAAGTCCGTGGCCTCGGGCCGAAGCAGGCAGGCGGGGAAGTGGCCGGTTCTGGTCACTGCCGGGGGCGGGTCCCGGCCCGGCAGCTGGGAGCGCGTGGCCTGGGGTGGAGGCTCGGCTGGCTGCGGACGACCGGGCACCCAAGCGGGTGGTCCAGGCTCTGGGGGGCGCCGGGCGGCCAGGGAGGGTGTGTAGGGTCGGGCGGGGCTCCGGGAGTGGAGGCCACGTGTAAGGAACGGGGTGGCGGGGGACCACCTCCGCCGCCCGGAGAGCCCCCCTTGCCAGCCAGGTCCCCTCCCGCGGCTCCTCTCTCGGGGGAGCCCGGCGCCACAAGCCTGAGGTCTTTCCTCCACAGAAAGGCGAGACCTGGGCCATGCCCAACTGCTCTCAGGCCACCTGCGAGGGCAACGGCGTCATCACCCTGCAGCCGCAGCCGTGCCCGCAGTTGCAGCGGCCGGTGTGCGCCAACGGCTACCCGCCCGTGAAGGTCGTCGACCCCGACAGCTGCTGCCCGCACTACCGGTGCCAGTGTGAGCCGGGGGCCAGGCTGAGGGGGAGGGAGGCACCTGGGTTAGACACCGGGAAGGCCTTCTGGACGGCAGGGCAGGGGACGGATGGTGCCGGGTGGAATCCTGCCTGAGCCCCAGAGCCCGCGGGGCGGGGGTGGGAGGGGGCCCCGCGTAAGGCCGCCGCGTGCCCGCAGGTGTGTGCAGCGGCTGGGGCGACCCCCACTACATCACCTTCGACGGCACCTACTATACGTTCCTGGACAACTGCACGTACGTGCTGGTGCAGCAGATCCTACCCGTGTACGGCCACTTCCGCGTGCTCATCGACAACTACTTCTGCGGGGCGGAGGACGGGCTCTCCTGCCCGCAGTCCATCATCGTCGAGTACCGGCAGGACCGCGTCGTGCTGACCCACAAGCCCGTGCTCGGGGTGATGACCAACGAGGTGGGGAGCCCCGCCCCGGGCAGCCCCACACGGACCGGGGCCGGCCGGGGGCACCCCTCATTCACTCCCCTCCTTGGCCCGCCGCGT